AGCATGTGGTTTGATTTATAAATTTATTAATATATTTTTAATAAAATAATATAATAAATAATTTTATTACAAATATTTTAATAAATTTATAAGTTGAGTTGTATTTTAGTATGTAACTTAAACTATAGAATATGAATTTTATAAAATTTTTGATGTTTTCTCTTCATTTACTTATCTTAATATTACTTCTATAATGGAAATAATTCATCAATAATTTATCAATAATAAAAAAACTCATAACGATGATGTGATAAACTGATAATAGATTTTATTGATTTCATTTAATTTATAAAACAAGAGTTTGTAAATTATTTTGATGTTATATGACTACTTTTAACAAAAATAATAATTATTAAATTATTTAATTTGTTTAAGATATTATGTGACTATTGTGTGGATGGTTATTGCTAAGAAACATCGTCCATGCTATAAGATGTAAATAATATTGATACTTTTGTCACAATTTTGCATCCCATCACAAACTCCCACTACAAAAAATTTCTTGTATTGAGAAATATTAAAATACCCAATTTTAAAAAATGAAAAGAAAAGAAAAGAATCAGAAAAAATAAGAATGAGGAGGAAAAATTAAAGGATAAAATTGAGAAAACAAATAAACTTCATCATAAATTAAAAAAAGAAACCTAATTAGCGGATTTGTCCTGCGATACATCCACAGTGAGGTTACTGGGTTAGTTCTCAACCTCCAACCAACTCCGCCTCGTCTTCTCCGCCCAACTCCTCCTTCTCCTTCTATTTCCCTCCATTAACTAGTTTCTCAATCGCCTCTCACCGCATTCTGCCAAATCCTCTGATCGACGGCAATGGCGTCTCAATTCCTCTCGAATGCCACAGTCTCTTCCCCCTTCTCTTCTTCCCGTCCTCGCCTTTCCCCTTTCGTTTTTTCTCGGCTCCCTTCTAAGCCCCTCCCTAAGCGTGTTTTCATTGTCCGATCCAAGATCAGGGAGATATTCATGCCTGCCCTCAGTTCCACCATGACTGAGGGCAAGATTGTGTCCTGGATCAAATCCGAGGGTGACAAGCTCTCCAAAGGGGAAAGTGTTGTTGTAGTCGAATCTGACAAGGCCGACATGGATGTGGAGACCTTTTATGATGGCATTCTTGCTGCTATTGTTGTCGGAGAAGGTGAGACTGCCCCTGTTGGCGCCCCCATTGGCATTCTCGCTGAGACTGAGGAAGATATTGCTGAGGCTAAGGCCAGAGCCGGGTCGAAATCTGCTGCTGCTGCTGCTATTGCTCCCAGTCCCGCTCCTCCTACCTCCAATCCCGCACCCCCAATTTCTCAGCTAAAGCCCGCGCCTGCTCCTGCTGTACCTGTTGCGGAAGGGCCGAGGAAGACAGTTGCGACACCATACGCGAAGAAGCTAGCGAAGCAGCACAAGGTGGATATCGCCTCCTTGGTTGGAACGGGGCCGTTCGGGAGGATTTCACCGGCAGACGTGGAGGCTGCAGCTGGGATTACGCCTTCCAAGACTAATGTGGAACCTGTTGTAGTTGCGCAACCGACTGCCCCACCAAAAGCAGCTGCTGCTGCTTCTGCGCCAAGTAGTTTGCCTCCTCCAGTTCCGGGCTCTACTGTTGTTCCATTTACCACGATGCAGGCGGCTGTTTCCAAGAATATGGTGGACAGTCTTTCAGTACCAACATTTCGCGTTGGATATCCAGTGACGACAGATGCCCTTGATGCCTTGTATGAGAAGGTGCATTCAGTGAATTCTTTAATTTGATTGCCTTAATAACTGTGTTTCTATAGACAGAGTGGTTGAATACATTGGTCTCATTTTATAGGTGAAGCCGAAGGGAGTGACAATGACTGCTTTGTTAGCCAAGGCAGCAGCAATGGCACTTGTTCAGCACCCTGTTGTAAATGCAAGCTGTAAAGATGGAAAGAGTTTCACTTACAATAGTAATATCAACATTGCAGTTGCTGTGGCAATCAATGGGGGCTTGATTACCCCTGTTCTTCAGGATGCAGATAAGGTTGCATTTTTTTTTCCGTGTCAATCATGGGAACTAGTTGTTGGTGATAGATGATTTTAGTAACTATAGTTTTCTCTGCACAGTTGGACTTGTATTTGCTGTCACAAAAATGGAAAGAGCTAGTGGAGAAAGCCCGGGCCAAACAGCTTCAGCCCCAAGAGTACAATTCAGGTTTTTACTCGTAAATGAAATTGTATTTTCCAATTCTCTTAATGCTTTTGATATGCGATTGAAATATAAGGTGCACTTGACAGGATTTTATAACTGTAAGTTGTACCTCAATTAATTGCAGGCACTTTCACTCTATCTAATTTGGGCATGTTTGGGGTAGACAGATTTGATGCCATTCTTCCTCCTGGACAGGTGAGCAGCTACTGATAGCCTTTGGACTTTTACTAGTTTAGTAGATGTCTTTGCATCTTAGTGCTGATTGCTGTTTTATGATTTGTTCGATGATGATCAGGGGGCTATCATGGCTGTTGGAGCATCAAAGCCTACTGTTGTTGCTGATGCAGATGGATTCTTCACCGTGAGAAATAAAATGCTGGTGAGTCCAATTTCTATCTTGATATTGTTGGTTTGATTTTCTCAATCCAAACACTTGTTTTATAGAAGGGGAAAGTGTAGCTGATTGCTCATCCATAATCTTTTTGAATTACAAAAGATAAGAACTTGCGAGCATATTGTTGAATTCCGTGATCTATAACTTGCAAATGTATTGAATAAAGTCAAGCTTTTGAGTTCATCTGGGTGCTATAAGGAATTGATAGACTAACTGTCTATTTCATGGGAGATTGCACATATAAGTTGTTTTAGTTTGTAGCGTACCATGCGATATAAAAACTTTTGAGGACGCCACTAGAAAGTAGGATCCAAGCAGCATTTCTTTGGGTGATATGTTTCAGTTGAGCAATTGCATTCTCCTTTGGTGATGAGAACTTTGTAATTTAGTGGAAACACGTAGAAGTAACAAACAAAATTAAGAAAGGAGATAATTTCTTTTTAGGTGTGAGTACATGTCTTTCTAATTTATGTAATTTACTGTTTCTTTCCCAAGAGTAGTTAGAGTGGAGATTGCCTTTTGGCATGTGAATAAGCCAGAGTGCCTGCCCTGTGACACATGCCCATCAAATTGTCTATTAGCTTCAGGAAAAGTTTAAGGAAAAGCAAATTATGGCAGGGCTACCTTTAAAAATTTGCTGTCTAGCAGCCACAAGTTTCAAGAATACTTTGTAGCATGCAAACATTGCTTTCCATGATAATTATTGTTGGTGACTCTGTTTTTAGATTTGTTGCACATGATATCCCCTAGTGAAAATGGCTTTGGAATTTTTGAGTATCAAAACATCTTTGCCTCAGTCAAAACTGTATTCCATTCTTCTCTATGGAGAGAACATGAAGGGTGACTAGCCAAATCTTTATCTGCACCTTGCCAATGTGGATGTTACAACCTATTGTTTGGGAGTAAAAGAAATCTCATGCTAGTTTTGCTGTCATAGGTCCCTTCTGAGTTCTGGTGTATGTGTCATATTTCCTGCATTTGATATGGTCCCTTTTTTGTTTGTGATTTAGACTCTAAGCTCATCAATCTAAATATTTCTATGAAACTCCTTAAATCATTGGGCATGTAATTCTTTTCTTCAGGTGAATGTAACAGCTGATCACCGTATTGTCTATGGTGCTGACTTGGCTGCCTTCCTCCAGACCTTCTCAAAGATTGTTGAGAACCCAGAAACCCTGACTTTGTAGATGATGCTCAGGTTTCTATGCAAAGTAGTTAACACTGTGCGTGCCCTCTAATATGGTTGCAAGAAGAGATTATAGAGTCTATTTGAATGGATTTACATAGGAGCCTGAATTTTTTTATAGTAGACCCTCATGTTGTATTTCTTTTTTTTCTTTTTCTTTTTTTTTTAAATTAAACCTGAAAAAGAGTGTTGTGTATTCCATTTTGTTTTGCTTTATTAAGACTGGGAAAGAGGGAATAAAAACTTCTTGAACAATTTTTTTTTTCAGAATGAAAATTTTCTTTCGGAAGAAATTCTGCCAGTGAAAATTCTTACTTGAGTTTTAGGTATATTGGCAGTTTGTCCACAATCTTCAGTACTGATGGAGGACATAAAACTCAGCTTCAGGAATTTCTTAAATCTTTCTAACAAGGCATGATTAAACATCTCTAATGGAAAAGGCATAGAGTAATAAAAGAGGAGAGCCACAGAAGAATAGGATGTACAAGGCAATCGAATTAATAGTGAAGAATTCCTTTTTGAGTGAACTGTTTATGTGCAAATCACCTGAAGCTGAGGTCTCTGGTGTATATTGGTTGACTGGTTGTCCTGCTACCTCTCCTCACAAATTCTTAGCAGCAACCCAAAGCTGATTTAACACGACTACTTGGTTGCAGGAGGCATAATAAACAGGTAAGAAAGGGAATTTTTCTCAGTGGCTACTGCTGTAGGATGTAAGATGTGCTGCATGCAGATTCAAAGACTATAACAACTTTCCTTGGATGTGAGACATATAACGGCCAGGGTATTGTAACTGTTGCGTCTCAAGTCTCAGGTAAAGAGATCCCTGCATTTTCTAGCATTCCCTATAGCAAAATAAACGTCACCAATCCAAGCTGATCTTTCTTGAGGCATGAAGTTGGTCAATGTAGTCTCCAACTACAGGTGAAGTGTTGATGTATCTTCTCATTTTCTTCTCTGCTGCATGATCTGCATCAATTTCAAATTCACCAGTTTGTTCTACAAAATGATTATGTTACCTCTCACGTCTTATTATGTTCTTCAAAATGATTCAAACTCACCGGTTTCGTTTAGCCTCAGCAAAAGTTGATCCCTAGATGGAATGGTGCACATTCCAGCATAAACTGCAGTTCTGAGAGCCCAACAGTGGTATGAGCACAAACTTGCCCATAAGCTGTTGAAGCCGCGTCCTCGTCCTTTAAAGAGAGTTTACTAAATATGACAAAATGGAAAACATTATATCAAAATTTTTTTTTAAAAAATCTTTGAACTAAATTCCAAATGTTGTTGAAACAATATTTTTCTTCAAGTAGCAAGGGCATCCGGACTCGGGGCTGGAGAGGAATGAGAACCGGGATATTCAAGATGCCACTACAAAATCATTTCTCTAATAATTACGCAGGTAATGAATGTAAGGCAACAATTCTTCATCTTCCAGGGTCAGCAGCACTACTTGGAAAAAGGAAAACTTCAAAAAATGCAATATAAGGTGAAATAACATATTCATTTGCCAAAAATTCTTCAAACAAAGCCCTGATAAGGTCAGGACTGTGTCTAACCCGACAGATTACGTGAACGACTCCCTGGTGTTTTCGCTGTGTCATTTGCAACATCCTCATCATGTATATTTTCCAAATTTTCGAATCCCTTTTATGCTTCCAGGAGATCACGTTCCTGAATCAATGTATCATCCAAATGCAATATATATAATCTGAAAAGTGGCGTCGAAAATACAAACCTAGAATTTAATATTAGCAAATAACAAAGGTAAATTAGAATTTTGATGCATCAAAATTTGATCCTTAAAACTTGCTCCCATCAAAACCATGAATCAAGAAATCAAGAAAATGAAGGCAAAACGGGCAATGAACCTTGGTCACAAACCCCGCTCGGCGAATTTGAAAGCGAAGCCGAGGCAGCTGAAGAGAATGGAGACTAAAGAACAAGCTTCACAAAAGGTGTCCAGTCGGAATTCTGGGCCCTTCCTCTGCGATATCAGGAACTTGCAGAGCTCCTCAAACGCATTGGCGATAGACGAAAGAAAACGTCGTCCTCATTTGAGCATCCTGAAATAAAGATTGTTCCTCGTCCAAAGAAACTCAGAAATTGAAGAGGGAGAAGAGAAATGAGAGTTTTCGTGTTGAACCACAATGTGTGGATTGAATAATGCAAAGTTGTTACTAGAAACGCGCTCTGCCTAAAGATCCGTAGCCTGGAAAAATCCTCTCTTTTTCTATGATTCCCACACAACAGAGGAATTTTGGTCTGTCTTAATTCTAGTTAGTATATATTGTAAATAAAATACTATTTTATTATTTTTTTAACATTAAATGATAATTTATATAATATAAAATAATTATCTTTTTTACAAGTTCATCCTCTTTGTGTTCATAGATATAAATTTAAAAATTTTAATATAAAAATTTAAAATTTTAATTATTGAATCATCTTCTAAAATATTATTTTATTAATTATTATTGTATATAATAAGCATCACTATTATGTTATATTTCTCCATTTTCATTGCAAAATCAAATATAGGTAACAAACACACTTGACTTTTCTAGCTAAGTGCCTTTTGGACTACTTTGGAGGTGCATTTCTCCTCTCCCCATGGTGGGTTCGAAACCCATCCTTATCAACTTGGTAAAAAAAAAATATAGGTAACAAACATCACATGTATTCAACTTAATTAAATTCATGAGCTTTTATTTCTACTTAAAAAGGAAATTGCTACTACCTCGTAAGTTCGCAAAAAGGATTGCTTGATGTGCACTACAATTGAAAAATGTTACGATTGGAAAAAGGTAGAGTGAGAGATTGCATTCATTACAAGCTACTTTTGCATGCTTACATAGTATTTCCTGATACAGATCTCCTTGGACATCTCTACAATGTCCACTACGTAATCCACCATACTAGGGAAGATTACTCTGATACAGCCAAAAAGAAAGAGGAGGAATTATTTTCAGTCTCAGTGCAATAAACTAAACCTTGCTCACAAGCTCTACTGATCCATCTTCTTCAGATTCACTCTCTTTATTATGAATCTGAATGGGCTTATAAGTGTATTTCTTTGCACAAAAAAGGTAGTAAATAAGATTAAAAACCTGCAAGCAAGTAATCAACCAATAAAAATACTCCAACTTCCCCTTGTTTAGGTTATCGTTCGGCAGCCAATTCGCTCCGTCTTGGCCGGCGCTGAACTTGTGCACCAAGGAAACCAGGAAGGTGCTCACGTAATTTCCGACGGAGATCGCAGTCCAAAACAGAGCGGTGGCTGTACTCCTCATGCTCTCCGGTGACTGGTCGTAGAAAAATTCCAACTGACCGATGGACATGAATGCTTCCGCAATTCCATGTAGGCTGTATTGTGGGACTAGCCAAAACACTGAAATGGGTATGATAGAATGGACCTTGTCTTGAAGCCCATGGGCCAAAGCTGCTTGTTTCCGCTTCACTTCAGCGAAGCCCGAGACTAGAGTGGCTATGATTGAAATAACAAAGCCTATCCCCATCCGCTGCAAGAAGGTGATGCCGCGGTCGAGGCCAGTGAACCGGCGGGCGACGGGGATGAAAATGCGGTCGTAGATGGCGATGGTAAAGAGCATGGAGACCATGGTGAAGACGGACATGGAGCCGGCAGGGATCTCGAAGGACTTGGTGAGGTGTCGGTCCATGGTCTTTGCTTGTTGGAGGGAGAATGTGTTTTGTTGTGCATAGGCTGTGATGAGGAGTATTCCGGCCGCCCATATTGGTCCCATCCTGATCACGGACTTCAGTTCTTCAACTCGATGAACTGTGTTTAGTCTCCAAGGATTAGGAGATTTTACATTGTCTTCTTCAGTCACCATTGCTGCCTTGTCAAGAAATCTGCATGTTATTACATAGCATTAAACATATTGAACAGGGTATCCAGTACTTGGTACAAAACATCATAGTTTTATTTTTATTTTTATTTTTTTTCAAGTTGTACAATAAAATAACCTCTTCACCACTTCCAGTCAGTATGTTGTACAATTCAAACTCATAGAAGCTAAGCTCAAGATGTAATCTTTTAGATTGCAGGCGATCAACAAGTGAATGTGTTCGCACCTGGGCCTAGAGGCCCACTGGCATTAGCCAGTTTGTTAGGTGCATTTCCCCCTCCTCTGGACGGGTTTCGAACCCGCCCCGTGTCAAAATGTTCAAAAAAAAAAAAAAAACAAGTGAATGTGTTCACATTGTCTTGTTGGGTCAATTTGGGTAGGGTGTGTTCTAAATTTCCAGTAAGACACTAATAAGTTTTTGTTGTTTTGCTTAGAGGCAACTATAGATGGTGGAAACGGATCAGTTAGTAGTTATGTTCAAGAAAATCATCTTTGGTCTTTATATATGGTCTCTACTCCAATTATTGTAATTATATACATAATTAATCAATTTTGTTACTTGCAGTTTTCATATCCTTTTTTATATTTATTTTTCAAATAAAAATGTTATAATTGTAATGTCATTTAGAATTACAAATTTATAATTATAAATTATGACATGTTATTAAATAAATTAATGCATATAATATTATGTACGGATATACTTGAATGAAAAAAATCAACTATATAACCACATAACATATTCTAAACTTACAATATCACAAATAATATTGTCATTATAGCAATTTTGTTTTTCAAACTTTATAATTATTATTAAAAGAAATCTAATGACTAATTATAACCTTGATAATTGACTGTTGTAAAAAAAAAAAAATTGGAGAAAACCATTCCTTATCAGTTTCAGACCATCAACTGGTGCCACTTGTTAGAGAAATAAAGAAGAAAACTTACTTTAATTGTTCGGTGTGGACAAGCTTTCCTTTCAAAGAAATGGAAGCATCCAGCTCCTCGTTCCGGTACAGCACCTCAGGATCCGTAACGGTCAATTTCCTCTTCTTAAAAGCTGCCACCGCCACCTGCAGCAGCCGGGTGAACGGACTTCCGGCGGGATTCAGGTGCCGGTAAAGTGGGTACCCAAAAACAAATGCAATAATTGAGAAGAACATTGCAATAGTAGGAATTCCAAGGCCCCATCCCCATCCAACATTATCTTGGATATAAACTATCACCGTTACGGCCACCAGGATTGATACCCCCATACAAAAATAGTACCAATTGAAATATTTCCATGTCCGGTTTGCTTGTTTTGGATCTGCTTCGTCGAACTGGTCCGCCCCAAATGCCGCCACACAGGGTCGAATCCCGCCCGCCCCTAAGGCACCCAGGAGGAGAGATGTATATAGGATTGCTGCCTGTCCGGTATTGGCTTCTTTGCACACTTGGTCACCGTCACATGGAGGCGGCCGTAGTTGTGGGACTATTGCAGATATGGTTAAGGATGTCATTCCCTGAATTAAAACCAATTAATTTGATCTTTGATTAGGAACAAGTTAATTATGTTACGTACCATTTTCAGTTGCTTGGGTACGAAGATTCTTGAAAGCAACTCAAATATTTGACGCATCACAGGAAAAGAAAAACATAGAAACAGAGTAAAGGGGAAAATAGAGTTTCTTACAACTTGATATATGATGGAAGCAATAGTTACGGTCCAGAAACGTCCGGCGAATGAATCGGCAATGAAAGCACCGAGCAACGGCGTCAGGCTGGCCGTGCCATTGAAGTTGGTTAGAGTGTTGGCTGCTTTGGTCAAGGGCATGTGTAGCTGCGTTATTAAGTAGCTAATCATATTAGCAGCAAAACCAACCACAGCTAATTTCTCACAGGCCTCATTCGCTGAAAATTGGCACCAACAAACAATGAATTAAACCCAGTACTATATATCCCAAGATGAAGAAAATAATAGTTAGATTGTCAAATAATTAGCACAAAACTAAGCTTACCAAAGATGAATGGCATGGTGACCAATCCTCCTTTTTGTTTTTTTGGAAGGTTGATTTTGTTGTCCTCCATCTTTTCCGAGTTCTTTGATGCCTGAAATTAGGTTCTAGAGAAGGCTATTTATAGAGGTATACCAATTGCTGTAACTTTGTTGAGTTTTTAATATAGGGCCAGACAAGGACTTGGAAATTTTGATATTCTGCCAGTAAAGTTTTCTCTGCAATAGTATGTGTCATTATTTCAGTTGAGAGTGAGTGGAGCTTACCTCAATCCAAGCATACCACCAACCTTAGTGAGATTTACATAGTACTATTTATAAATTCGCCTATCTATAAAGAACTACTAACAGAAAGATTTGAATTTAGGAACACAATTGAAGAGTTTAAAGCTTATTACCTCAGGAAACTGTAGTGGATAATAATTTGTATTATTATCATTATTATTATTATTATTATTTTTAAAATTGGCAATGAAATTTGTATTATTGATTGTATGTTGCGGACATGTGATCCTTGTTTTGTTGTGAACCAAGGGCAATGGACGGGTAGTTGGATACTTGACTAGAATTTTCTCACTAATTATTTTGAAGGAAAAAAAAAAAAAACAGTGATGTTAAAGAAATTAGAGATAAATATCATATACAAATGCTGCCATGTTTTGGTGGAATATGACACATATACGGAGATCCGTGATTTCTTAAAAAAGACAAATAGTCAAAAGGAAAGGAATGGATTAGGATGCAACATAAGATGACAGAAGGGTTCTTCTCTTCAATTTCTTTTAGCTTATGGGTTTTCAGATCTTTAATTTGTTGAAATGTGGTTAAAATCCAAATTAAATGAAATTCAACGCTCTTAAATAGTGCTTCAAATGATTAAAAATTAAAAACTAAATTAAAAATTTAAAGTTTAAAATGTAAAACATGCGAGAGAAATTAAAAGAAAAAAAAATTATTACTTATTATATAACATATTATCTAATGAAAAAAAAAAATTGAACCATAGTCAGAACTTGCAAATTACAAGTTTGGGCATGCTCCTCCCATGATGGCTCTTTTAAAATACAAAATTACGGGTCTTAAGAGACAAAATATACAACACTTCATGGTAACATGCATTATTTTAATTAATCAACATGTAGTAAAATGCAGATTGAATGATAGATTATTGATGTCAGCTTCTACATTATTTTTTTCTTTTCTGAGTGTGATAGATGTTTCCTCTTTTTTATATAATTTTATACCCCTTTTGCATGAAAAACACAAAAAGTTATTTTCAAGAACATCCATAGAATACTTTCGTTTTCGTCAATATAAAAAGTTATGTGACACTACGCTACATTTATCTTCTAGAAGGTTTGCAAAAGGTTGGGGGAATAACTTAATATTTACCCTTTAAATAAATAGTGGTAGGTTAAAACTTAAGAGAGGTATAAAGACCACTATCAAAATCACAATGTTCTTGGACCTAAAATAAATGTCTGGCTATAATTTTTTAATAAAAAATGATTAATATACATTTAATTTAATATTTTTTTTGATATTTGTTTCGCTTTAATTATTTAAATATAATATAAATACAATTGATTTAATCAATTCTTATATCTTATATATATAACTATATTTTTAAGTTTATATACTTTTAATTTTAAGTTAAAAATAATAATTTTTTAATAAATATACTATGGAGTATGTTGAATTGAAGTGTATACTTATCTATATATATATATTTTTTTTAACATAAATTTCCTTTTCTCCTCTGGTAAAAAGAGAGAATAGCATTGCAAAATAAGATTAAGTCCCGGGGTAGCAAACCCCTACAATCTCAGCTAAGCAAGCATATTCATATCATTCAAGCAATCACACAACAGCAAAATTAGAAGGGGAGTGGGGATCCTTCTCGGTAATCGCATCAATATACCTGTTTCTTTTCTAAGGATGTGCTTGATACGAACTAGGGGAATTATGTTCAAGAGGACCCTGCAATCCAATATCAAAGCATGCACTATGAGGATGATGAGGATTGTGACAACCAGTGAGATAGTTATAAGCAAGCTGGCAATCACTTTCACAGTGGAAGAGCCAGGATTTGTTGAGAGGGGGCCAAATTTTTTAAAAAGGAAAATGAGGGAAGGAAGCTCTAATAGTGTTTACTAGCTAAGGATCAAAACAAAATCTATAAAGGTTTTTTTTTTTTTTTGGGGGGGGGGGTGTAATTAGTGAGCTTTTTCTAGTTGCCTTTGTGTCCCAAAAAAACTCAAAATATCAATTAAAAAATGGAAAAAAGATTTAATATTTTTGTAATAGTAAATCACATCAAATGACAAAAAGGGAAAAAAAATTAGGTTTAATCACTCAATAGTTTATTTTAGATTAAGGGTAAAGATTTTATCATTGACTTTGTAAAAAATGGATTCATTGAAAGATACAGTTGAATATTTTAAATTGATTTTAAGCCCAGTAAAGAGAGGAATTTAGGGTTTTCCCAACAAATAAAGAAAAAGGAAGAGAGGAAAGAGGAGATGTATTAGAAATTTATAGATCTTTTTTGTCAAAATTTTGTCAAAAATTTAGAAAATTTTTTACTAACCATGAAGTTTAGAGATTAAAAAGTATTTTTTATGTTTAATAAATTCAATAATTACCATGCCAACATTGAGTTTAATATTTTTTTTTTCTGATCAACCAAATAATTTTTTTAATTAATTTAGACTACAATGGGTACTCTAACTCGCATTTACACCACTCCTTTCATCCATATCAAAATCCCAATCATCATTTACAAAAATAGGAAACAAAACTAAGCTTCACATACAGTTGGGAATTGGCACCAACCACTGTAACTAAACACAACAAATTTATATTTCCATTTTATCCAATTAAAAGTTTTTTTTTTTTTTACTAACTTTTTAGTATCCAAAAGTCACGTTGGGTTTTGACTAATCCGAAATTGAGTTGCTTTGGATCTTATAAGGGGAAAGTTTTTTCAACTCCTATTTCTCCATTTACAAGACTTGAACTTGAAACCTTACTTAAGGGGAACCGATCTCCTTCCACTCGGAACAATAGATTGTTGATCCAACCAAAAGTCTTTGTCAACACTAAATCAAATATATCTCTTTCATTCTAGGAAAGGTTGTTAAACACAATGCCATTACATAATACCAAATAGCCCAAGCAGTTGTAAAAATAGAAAGCACCTAGCAACTTCAAGACTTCATGCTAGGCTTAAGTGAACAAAGTTGCATAAGGAGGAAAGGGGCATTACCAATAGGAGAAAAAGGAATTCCCCACCAATTGCAAAACTGGGTCTAGATGTTTTGGGAGTATCGGCACAAAGCAAAAATGTTATTATTATCTTCCACACTAACACCATAGAGAACATATTTTGGGTTGGACAATAGATGAATACCACAACTAATGAGGTTGTCCTTAGTGGGAAGCCTATTCAAGAAAAGATGCCATGCAAAGACACTTATTTTTGATGGCATAAACTGACTCAAAATAACCTTGCAACGGTTTTCATCAAGACACCAAGGGAAGTCATCAAGAAATTTGTAAGCTTGCTTGGGGGAATAACCTATTGTGCAGTGCTTCGAAATGAACTTATCAGATCTTCCTTTTGATAAAGTAATATTTTGGAGATAGTCTTCAAGCCTCTCAAGGTCATCCAGTTCTCTATCAAAGGGAGATTTGTGCCACTGAAGAGCCCACCTAGCTGCATTAATCAACTTCAAGTCAACAACCAAAGCATCCTTGCTCAAAGTAAGGCAAAAAAGGTAGGGGGAAGAAAGCATAAATGGAGAGCTGCCCACCCAAACATCCTTCCAAAATCTAGTGTTTGAGCCTTCACCAAGCTTACGAATAAAGCCATCATCAAAGCACACAAAAGCCCTATCGTAATCCCTACCAATAGATAAGATATCCTTCCAAAAGGGAGAGAAGCTCAAAGAAGTAGTGTTAGAAATAGAAATAGAAGAAACTCTATTGTGATATTTTCTAACAATAACTTTTTTCCATAATTTCTCATTTTCTTCAGCATCATAAAATTTACTCGAACATTTTCTTAGCAAAGTAAAATTCCTAATAGAAAGATTTTGAATGCCAAGCCCTCCCTTTGATTTATCAAGGCAAACTCTCCTCCAATTAACTCAAGCAATCTTATTACAGTCGTTTTGAACCCCTCACATTGAGTTTAAATTTTAGTATTGAAACTAATATAATAACCAAGTATCATTTTTTTGATCAACTAATAATGATTTTTATCACAAAGGTTAGGAATATGAGTTGAAACAAAATAAAGATTTTGAAAAAAATTGTCTTATATTAAAAAGATTGATGACTAGTGATAAAATTTTTTATTTAAATTTTCAAGGTTTAGGGTTTAGGCCCCTGGTCTACACACTTAGGTCCACCCCTTCACTTTCAATAACCACTTTCAGAAAATGGTTAGTGAATATAATAGTAAGACTATCCCAAATGGGCCATAGCTCTGCTGCCAAAGCAATGGTGATGCCTCTATTACGCACGAAGCCAAGAGTCCAGACGATCGTTGTGGTTTCTAAATAACCCTCCGCGCACGTCCTGGATGAGTGGATGACCAAGATTACTCACAGAGAACTATTTGTGTATTTTTTTTTTTTAGAAAAAGGTGATCACATAATTACAAATACATATTTAAAGGATGAAAGATTATTGTTAATAGTTAAACTTGAAGTCCAAATTAAAAGTCACATCATTAAACCCTTACCACTAGCTACAAAACATGGTTGGTGAGAACCATTTGTATTGAATTTAATTCAATCTGGCATTTCTCGTGTCGTGACCCAGTGGTCACTTGCTGCCCCAAAGGGCAACTTGTGGTTTGCACTCTCAAGTCTCAAGTTCAATACTCCCATTAACACCTCTAACATACTAACTTCTAACTATTGTCCTTATAAAAAAAAAAAATTCAATCGGGCCAGGGGCTCCCATTATATTGATTTTCTATTTATTGCAAGAAAGTTCTTTCCTTGAATGTATCTTCCAATAATTGTTTGCCAAATTGGAGGGTACAAACGAGATACTTTTTCAATTGCTGCAAGTTGGATCAAGATGAATCAGCAAGCCAAGAAACCACAAGCAAAAGCAAATTTTCCACAGAAATTCCTAAAAGACTGAGATATGATACCAAATACCAATTAAATAATAGATTAATAGTGCATTTTTATACTTTAACTAGCCATGGAGCTCTCAGACAATATTAAAATAATGTTGGATATCTTACAACATATATTGACTCTTTTAAGATTAGACATATCTATCCCCAATTCCCTCTCTCATAAACCTAACAGGAAAAATCTTTATCATTATTATTATTATTATTTTTAGCTAATAAAGGTTTGATTCCAATTAACACGGGGAGAAAATTTTTCACACATTTGAGTTTTGCACTTCGGTGCGTATGTCTCGTTCTTGACCTAACAGATAAAGTGATCCCATGGGTTTGGTTAACAGTAAAAAAATTAATGCTCATATTTTCCTCTTGAATAATTTAGAAATACACATACTAAAATTTATCTAATGTTTTTTCTTTATTCAAGTACTATTAATTTAGAACCCTAAGTGTTCAATTTATTAGTAAGTAAATAGTATCTCATAGATGAGATTCAAGATTTGAGTTTTGATATCAACAATTAAAAAAATTAATTTTTTTTTTTAAATGCAACAGGTTGATGTAAAGGATGCATTTTTTAAACTGTCTAAAAAGAATAATTTAGAAATATATAAAAATTAATTTAAAAATGTTTTTACTGTGAGTACCAAAAAGAGTAAAAAGAAAATGCACTACTAATTTAGTTGATGAAGCTCACCTTATCTAAAAAGCTCGAGTCTTATCAACACGACTTAGAAAGATAACCACCAAGTCACGAATGTGCTACTAAATTGGTCCATTTAACTTAATAAAAGCCATAAAGCATAGAAATGATAGTATGATTGCACAGAAATGACTCCATAATCTCCAACTTTTGGGTTGTGACATTCACTGTGCGTTAGATGCATGACAGGTCCATAAAGAAAAATGTCTCAAAGTACTAGAATAAAAGTTCGATGTTTTTCAATTCAGGCTAACAAAATTTAATAGAAAAAATGAAAACACATTTCTGGTTAGAACAGAACGGCAGGCACTAGTAGGTATAATGGGTTCAACGATCAGTTTAGTGGAGCATTTCATCGAACAGATGATAGGCAACGCATAAACAAGAACTCAAGAAGCAAATGACGGGGAAGTTGAAGTGTTGCAGACGCACAGGTTGAGGTTTTCCCGTCTTCTATTCCTCTAATATGCTCTGCCTTTTGTGGACTTGACGTGAGAAGTAATGTAAGCCATTCAATCTAACTCAAGATATATGAAGTTTGGAATTCCCATTTCCATATCAAATCATGGGATGATGGGGTTTTGATCATTAGAATGAATTAACCTTTAGATAAGTATGTATGATCGTGTCCTTGTACAGTTTTCAATGTAGCAGTCACTGAAAGTGGACTACTGGGTCCCCTCCCGACCACGTTTTCCCCCAACTTCTCTTCTCTTAGTCCTAATCCTCGTGATTTGTTTTGTTTCAACCAGAGACGCATCAAGGAAATCGTGACTGTTTCAATAAGCAAACAAAGTTTCTCCATTCTCTTTCTGCCTCCATTTTATATATGAAAAGAAAGAAAGAAAAAATTAGGACATTTTATTGTTAAAAATATGAAATTGTTTAATTATAATTATTAAATTTAACCTTATCAAATTCATCATAAAATTGTTATTAAATATTCTGGTATAATTAATGTTTAGACTTCTTAATTTTTTTTCTTTACTTATTTTCTTAATGTAGGAATGCCTTAATTTTTTTTTCCTTTATATATTTTCTTAAATTATATAATTTTTGTACTTATAACTCAATTAATAAGATTCATAATTTCTCCGTTGGGGTTTCAATGGAGAGGTCATCCCCCTCAAGTTTAGGTTACTTTGGTAGAACAGTGCAAATAATAACTCTGTTGTTTTTGGGGGTTTTCCGAGTTATTCATCTGAGTTTTATAAACTCATTGTAATAAGTAATCCAAGTTGGGTCTAGTAGGATTCGAAGGCGGTCATTTATATCTACTTCATATTTTCTTTGGTAGTTGTATCTGCTTCATATCTATTGAATCTTCAATAAATCCTACTTGACACGTCGGGTTCAATAACAAGTAGAACTTAATAAAGGACAACTGGTAATGATTTACAACTCTCTTTAATTTTTTTTTATATTTAAACTCTTTTTATACACATATCATGTTATTCAAATTTTAAATTTTTTATTTTCATAACAAAAAAATTACCATTAAACTCTTTATTTCATTGGAATTTCTTCAACAATATAAATAGAGAATGGTGACTATAAGTAACTAACAACTTGCTTCTAAGTTCTACCAAAAAGCCTTTATTATTCTCATTGGTGGTCCATAAAATTGAAAATCAGTTTTGAGATGACACCAATTCCATGCGTGCATTACCAGCACCGATCTTGATAAAATCTTTCAATTCGCGTGAGGTAGTCAATGGTGTGGTGTGCTTTGGTATTGATATGGGTAAGATCGTGCCTCAGTTTTTGTCTCTGTTTTTGCTCCTTTACACGTTGGTTGATAATGCTTTCTCCTGTTTCAGTTCTGGAAAACTGCCACGCAACCTTTGGGACATAGGGGCGGTGAGAGCACATTCTGGTTATATATGGACAAAAACATAATCGCAACGCTGGTGAAGCATGTGCTCCTTTTGCATTATATGTCTCTTTCTGTAATTCCATACCAGACAATTTTTTTATCATCTTTGATTCTTATCAGCCTAACCTGCAAAAAGTCCATTCCATAAAGAAAGAAAATCTTTTTTCCAATCCTAGTACCATAACTGATAGATAGAAGGTATGATTTTCCGCAGAAAGATATGTAAGACTGTTGGAATCGATCATTAGCCTAGCTACTAGCAGTACTCGGTTACATATATTCTGCTTTTCTTCTATTATCTTGAGATCGAAATCTATTGTTTTTGTGCAATATTCGGATTTCATCAGTTGAGTTAAACAGGACAGGAGCACAAAGGATGGATCTAGAGAATGGAAGAGGCAAGCAAGTGCATGTGATGCATGTTTCTTAGCCAAAAATAGTGCTGGATGTCAGAAAGGGTTAAATGGGTTATGCTCACGGGGCTGAAAGAAAAGAAAGCATTCCCTAAACCCAAAAAAAAAAGAAAAAAAAAAAAAGAAGAGAAAACTGTCATGGAGTTTGGGCAAAAATCTATTTTTAACCCTTTATCTTATCAAGTTTGAAGGTTTTAGCTCATCACCTTATACTACGACACTTTTAGTCCATTACGTATTAAAATCAAAGAAAATAACATTCGTTTTATACTGATTATTAACTTTATTAGCTAAAAGTAGGTTTTTGTTAACCAACAGTCAACTAATAATCAATTAACAGAATTAACGAAATCGTAGTTGCGAGAGAACTCCAAAGTACTTTTGAATTTGATTGCCTACTTCGGTAGACCTACAAAGCCTCGAGGTGAGTCTTCGGGGTAGACACTCTGATGCCTAAATCAGCAATAATCAGAGCTACCAGGTATAAATCAAGAGCTGAGCTTGAATTCGGTTTCAATTACCTTTTGAGGAGGACCCTTAGGGGGTATTTATAGCCTTCAAATGGGACATCCACGTGTTGTTTTTCACGAGAAATCAGGATTATATGTGTCGATGATCCCAGAAGGCTTCCTAACAGTATCCTTGCATGTACAGAGTTACTGTAGAGTAGGAGCAAGGGGGATGAACTAGAGCTCGGCTGAGCTCGTTTGTTCCCTGCCATCAAGGTGACTAGGTTGAAAGTAGATCGGGACGCCCAAGGTACTTGACCTCGGGCTGGACTGAGGGACGAGACCTTGGACTATGTGACCTCAGACTACTACCATTACACTATACTACCACTACAGAAATATTATAAAGTTAGTTTTGTTAATTCTATTAGTTAAAAAAATATTTTTATCAGCTAATAGTCAACTAACAGTCAGTTAATAGAGTTGACAATCAATTAACAGAACTAATAAAATGTTACAAAGTGAGGATTGTTTTCTTTAATTTTAATAGGTGATGGACTAAAAGTACTATAATATAAGATAAAATGTTAAAACCTACAAATCTAATAAGGTATGAGATTAAAAGTGTCATAATATAAAATGAGGGATTAAAACCTTCAAATTTAATAAGACGAGAGGATAAAAATAGGCTTTTGTTTGGAGTTTAATTTATATTAATCTACATAACATAAATTACTGAATAGGAGATCAATCTTCTTTCATTCAAAACTATCCTCCTATTTAATAGTGTTCTTGTTTTACATGTCAATATAATTTAATTTGTATAACATATAACTTTTTTTCTAAATGTTAATGCAGTTACAAAAAAAAAAAAGGAAAAGAGAGAAGTAATGTTGGCATGTCCACTCCCATCTAATATATAATTTATATTTTATAATCGATATAATCTAAACAACAAAATAAAAAAAAACTCTTTCTTAAATACTAACGCAGAAATAAAGAACAGTAATGTCAAGTGAGACAATAATATTCCAAGATATCCTGTCCGAAACTCAACCATTATTACAATTAAATATCTAGAGAAAATCGATTAACTTTGAGCCAAGGGCACGAGGAAATTTGGAATGTATCGAGGAAGGTGTGCTGCAACTTACAAGAAGAACTACAAAATAAGTTATTTTAATCCCACACATAAGAGTTTCTAGCCTCGGTTGAATTCAAGATTGAACTTCATCAAGCCACGAGGCCCAATGGGTTGGGGGCTCGGCAGCTAGCTTACTATTCCCAGTTCGACAGCCTCTTCCCTTAACTCTTCATGTTCTATTTTCTCGCTCTCAAGGGTTTTGAATGTATAAAACTTTGTGCACAATAAGAAATATACAAAATTTAGCAATTGCAAAATCGTAAGCAACCAGTAGAAGTTCTCCAACTTCCCCTTATTCAAGTTCTTGTTAGGAAGCCAATTCGATCCGTCAGCTCCGGTACTGTACTTGTGCACCAAACTAACAAGAAGTGTGCTCATGTAATTCCCGGCAGCTATCGCCGTCCAAAACAGGGCAGAACATGTGCTCCTCATACTCTCCGGAGCTTGGTCATAGAAAAATTGTACACGAGCAACCGAATGAAAACTCTCGGAAATACCATGAAGGCTGTATTGTGGCACAAGCCAAAAAATCGAAAGGGGGTGTTTAGAATTTGTTAATGCTGCATGTTTTCGATTCATTTCCACAAATCCAGCAACCAGGGTCGCTAGTATGGCTAAGAAGAGACCTATGGCCATCCTGTGTAGTTGGTTTATGCCTTGGTGATGGCCGGTGTATTTCCGAGCAAGAGGGACGAAGAGGCGGTCGTATACAGCTATGGTGAAGAGATTGAACAGGGTGGTGAAAATGGACATGGAGGCAGAAGGGATTTTGAAGGACTTTGTAAGGTTTCTGTCCATGGTTTTCCCTTGTTGGATAGAGAATGTGTTTTGCTGAACAGAGGCCGTGGAGAAGAGAATCCCAGCCGCCCATATGGGTAACAATCTGATGACACATTTTAATTCCTCGACTCTGTGTACAGTGTTCAGTCTCCATAAGTTTGGCTTATTGGAGGATTTGATGCTGTCTTCTTCAGTTACAATGGCTGCCTTGTCCAGAAATCTGCATACATTATAAGTAACAAAGAAATAAGTCAATATCCATAACAAAGTATCTCTTGGAAATATTATTCGAAATGTGGCATTTAAACCTGCAAAATGATGAAATGAAACTGCCATGAAATGGCAGCGTTGAGGCTGAAAATTGACAGCAAATGAAGCTGCAATTTGACAGCAAATATGGCAGCAATTAGCTGCAAATATGATGGGAACGAAGCTTTCAAATGACAGAAAAAATGTGCAGGAAGCTAAGCTGGAAATGTTGATGAAATGAAGCTGCAATGAACCATAAATGAAATGCAAATGCAAAAGGAATACAAATGCAAAGCAAATGAAAGGCTGCAAAGTGGCTGCAGAGTCACAGCAACATGGAACCGCACAAAATGGCAGCAAATCTTTTGAACGTAATCTTGCTTTAAATGTTTGATAGATTTTCTTGTATTAGGTAAAATACTAGGTGAGAAAAACTGTTATGTTGCGTTGTTTCTGCTATAAATAGCAGAATATCAATGAGATTTCTAAGTTGGAGTGTCATACACTACCATTTTAGTTTATCTTCTGCTCTTCATCTTCTTTCAGATTCTCTCCATTTCTTTGTGAACAAAAAAAAAAAAAAACCAACAGTGTCCACCAACTTCCAAACATTGACTCCAGCTCCAGAGGTCAAGAACTTATAAATTAGCTCGCTATGCGTATATTTTATGCTTGCGAGGCAATTTCCACGATGCTTTTGGCTTGAAACGTTATAACCATGTGGAGCTAACATCAATTTTGGCACGAAATGAGGTGCATGTTACAGGTCAAAGTTTCTTGGAATTAGGCTTACCCTATCAAATCCATTTTTTCTTCTCTAAAAATGGACTTAACCCCATCCATATGCATATAAGAGTTGCAAAGTGCATACATGTCCAAATAAATTTAACTCAAGGTAGAAGAATTCGTGAGTTACCTCAATTGTTTAGTATGATGCAGACTCCCATCTGCAGAGATTGAGGCATCGAGCTCCTCATTTACGTACAACAATCTTGGATCAGGAACCGTAGAAGCCTTTCTCTTCCTAAATGCAGCAATGGCAGCCTGTAACAGCCGCATGTAAGGACTCCCTGCTGGAGCCAGATTCCGGTAAAGTGGGTAACCGATCACAAACGGGATAATCGACAATGCCATCAGAATTGTCGGAATCCCAAGTCCCCACCCCCATCCGATGTTATCCTGAACATACACAAGCACTGTGACAGCTATCAGACCTGATGCCTCCATTATAAAGTAGTACCAGTTAAAGTAAACACTTGTTTTGTTAGATTGCTTCTGGGGATCCTCGTCGATGAATTGATCCGCCCCAAAAGCTGCCACACATGGCTTGATTCCTCCAGCCCCAACGGCGGCCAGTATAAGAGATACGCATAGAATTGCCTCCTGTCCTCCATCGGCTTCTTTGCAGACCTGGTTTCCTCCACACGGAGGCGGTCTCAGCCGTGGCATTGCAGCTGATAGTGTTAGAATAGACATTCCCTGGCCATTTCCACATGAAACTCAAGTTCAATTTACAAATTATATCTTTACATTTATGTTTTAAAACAGGGGGAATTTTCTTAACCAGAATATATATAACGGTGGCAACAGCAATTGTCAAGAACTTTCCGGCGTATGAGTCGGCAATGAAGGCACCGAGCAACGGCGTCAAATTTTGAGTTCCGTTGAAGTTAGTCACAGTGTTGGCTGCTTTGGTAATCGGCATATGAAACTGGTCTGTGAAGTAATTCACCATATTTTTAACGAATCCCATCATTGCCAACTTCTCGCACATATCATTTGCTACATTTAAACAATTAAAACCCATCAAAAACAAAAACCGTCCCTTTTCTCCTTTTTGAACTTTAATGTACATTCTATAAAACAAGTTGAAGCTTACCAAGGATGAAAGGTAGGGTCTTTATCCCACCCTTTGCGCGGGTAACAGAGTTACTCTGTTCATCAGCATTTGCAGTATTCTCCTGTCTATCCATGTCTAATATGTTGTCTCCTTCCGGACCATGCAATAGATGGTCTGCCCGTCAGCGTTGGAAGATTTTTATGGTACTGAGTAGTGTTAGAAGAACTTGAATTATGTTGCCATCGAAGCCGGAAGTGAAGGAAAAAGAAAAATTACATGTTGACTGGGAATCAAGAAGGTAAATGCATTTCTTGCACTACTTTAATTTGTAGTTGCATTGTTTCCATCATAGCTTAATTAGTTAATATTTTTCAAACCTTGGATTGAGGTAGGGGTGGTGTTATCTGATACTTGTATATACTAGGGGGTTTAGGCCAGGCTGGGAAAATGGACAGGATTGGACAATTGTACCTCGTTCATAAATATAGGGGAAACTTAACACCAGAAGATAGTATTAAGAGTCAAATAATGTTTATCATATGTCAACTTGTTAATTAAGATACTTTGGGAATCCTTTCTCGAAAAAAAGAAAGAAATGAGGTTGTATTTGGAATTAATGTAAAGTGTTATCATGATAGATTTTTTAATATTTTATTATGAAAAAAATCAGACTATTATTTAATAATTACTTTGAAAAGAGTTTTATATATTAATATGATTACTAAATTATATAAAATATTAATTAAAATTAATTTAATTATAATAAATTAAAAAATTATTTGAATTAATTTTTTTAATGTAATTGATAATTAATATTTAATAACTGATTATTATTATTAATTCAAAATATTTAACTTATTCAATTAAAAATAACAAATAATTATTATTTTTAAAATATCAAAATAAACATAACTTAAAACTTTTATAAAATACCGCACGAAAAAATACAGAAGAAAACCAACTTTAAACGCCCAAAAAATAAAAAATAAAAAAGAAGAGGAAATTCCAGCAAGGTATGGAGTATGGACATTGATTGGAGGTCCACGATTCTGACGTAAGCCACACCCACCTTGCGTTTTTAATTAATTTATTTATTTTTGGTTAAAACCCCTTTTTGGTCCCTGAACTATTATACAGACTCCAGATTTAGTCCTTAAACTAAAAAAATCCCTGATTTGGTCCCTATTGTTTACCATTTTTACCCCGATTTGGTCTTTCCGTTAAAAATTGTGTGACATGGCCTGTTACTTAATGGTTACCAGATGACATGTCATATAGTAATCCACGTGGAAGATAATATAACCAAAAAGTGATGATGTGGAAAAAAAATAATATAAAAAAATATTATGAAAAATAAAACTTATATATTTTTTTCTTTTTTCTTTTTTCTTTCTCCTTCCCCTTTCCCTTTCTCTTTCTCCTTCCCCTTTCTCTTCTCTTTCCCCTCGGAACCCAGCAAGTCTGGGTTCCTTTGAACCCACCCAAGTGCTGGGTTCGCGTCTGGGTTTGCACTGAACCCAGCATGCCTGGGTTTGGTAGAACCCAAGCATGCTGGGTTCGCAAGGAACCCAAGCGTGTTGGGTTCGCGTACAAACCCAGCACGCTTGGGTTCCTTGTGAACCCAGGTGCAAAAAATTTAAAAAAAAAATTTATGTTCTTGTTTTTTGGATTTTGTTGTTTGATTGTGATGAAAAATTGATTGATGAAGATGAAGAAGGCAAGGCAAAGCAAGGCAGTTGCTGGGTTACTGCAGGTGTTGGGTTTGATTTTTCAATTTCGAACGCTAGGTTTTTGCAGGTGCTGGGTTCGTTTGCAAGTGCTGGGTTCGATTTCGAACCCAGTGGGCGGTGGGTTTGAGGTTCTGGGTTTCATTTCGAACCCAGCAGTCGTTGGGTCAAATATCTATTGAGTTTAATATGTTGATTTGTTGTGTTATCCTCGAATTTAATATTAGGAGTTAGGGTTTGCAGAAGGTTAAAAGAAAGGGAGAGGAAGAAGAAAGGGAAAAAGGAAAAACAAACAAAGAAAAGAAAAAAGGAATAACAAATTTTTTAAGATTTTTTTCTTGCCATCTCATTTTTTTGTCACACTGTACATCTTAGGTGTCAAAATGGTTTTACATGTCATCGTTTTCCCCGTCAAGTAACGGGACACATAGGTTGATATTTGACGGAATGACCAAATCGGGGTAAAAATGGTAAATAGTAATGACCAAATCAAGGATTTTTTTAGTTCAGGGACCAAAAAGGAGTTTTAACCTTTTTTTTTGAATAAGTTGTCAATGGGCGGGCTCGAAGCTTGTCCATGGAGGAGAGAAAATGCACCTTAAACTAGCAGGGTGTCAATTGGTCCGAAGGGCCAGCTACTAATTTATTATTATTATTTTTTTAACACGGTGTTTTTAATTTAATTAATTGCTCCTAAACCATAAGAATATATATATATTTGTTAGTTAATATACTTCTGCTTCAGTTTTTATGCATCTTAATTAATTTTTTTAGACAATTTAAAATTATATTTATATACTAATTTGACACATTTTAAAAAAATTAATTTGGTATCAAAATTTAAATTCTACATTTACTAATAAATCCAACCTTAATCACCTACAAAAAAATCACCAATACAAGTTGTGAATATTTTGGAGGTGAAGATAAAAATAAAATAAAATAATCATTTTGATCTGTACAAGTTCCAACATTTCCTTTCATGCATATTTTTTCATAATCACCAAATTGATATCTACTACTACAACTGATGTAAAAAATGTTTTTTTTTTTTATTATCAAATATATCCTTGTCACGCCAACCACCATTGTGGCCCTGCCTAATGCCACAACTGAGAAGAGTGGTAATATTTAAAGATTTAAAATTTAACTCTTGACAATCTCCAGTTAACAAAGTCTATAGTCATAGAGGATATTGAGTTCCTCAATAACTTTATTTAAAAAATAAGAACGGTTAATCATAAATTTTTTTAAAAAAGTTAGTTACTTTTTATCTCTCTAAAAAGATGAAAACAATTAACCATAATTATTTTTGTAAAAGTCAAGTTTATTTAGTATAGTTACTTTTTCTTGTAATTAGAGTTAGTTTTCTGTTATAAATAGGAGACACTTTTTTTTTTTTTTTATTAACATCTGGTATTTGATAACCACATTGGATCTCAACTAATCCGGAATCGAGTAGCGTCGGACCTCATAAGAGGGGAAGTTCTCCCGATACCTATTTCTCCATTCATAAAACTCGAACTCGATACATTGTTTAAGAAGAACTGAGTTCCTTCCACTTGAACCAACATATCAACAGAAGACACTTGACAAGCATCCTTTTTCCATTGGTCTATTATTTCAACCCAAAGTTGTGGATTTCAACTGGATAATTCTAGAATAGTTCCTTACTATTCTATTTCCATTCTTTTCCCAAATAATATCCTTTCTCTATTCTCTTCCCTATACTCAAGTGCTGCTTGAGGTATTGGATATCTTCCTCTAGTTGATATGTTCTAAATTCAAAGATTCTAGATGCTCTTAGAGTTCAACAAACAAAATAGTAACAATAATTAGGTAGAAAATAGTAACAAATAACAACAAAATAGCAAACTTCAGCTGGCAAAAGTCTACTTTTAGCCCCTCACCTCTTTTAGCCCCTCACCTTGTCAAGTTTGAAGGTTTCAGCCTTACCTTATACTATGATATTTAACCCCCCACCTTACTAAATTTGTAGGTTTTAGTCCATCACCTTATACTATGACACTTTTAGCCCCTTACCTATTAAAATTGAAAAAAATAACCCTCACTTTGTAACATTTTGTTAGTTCTATTAACTGACTGTTAACTTTATTAATGGACTGTTAACTTTATTAACTGACTGTTAGTTGTCAAAAACTTTCTTTTAGTTAACAGAGTTAACAGAACTAACTTTATAATATTTCGTTAATTCTATTAATTGACTATTAGTTGACTGTTAGTTGATAAAAATTTACTTTCAGCTAACAGAGTTAACAGTTTCAGCTAACAGAGTTAATAATTTCAGCTAACAGAGTTAACAGTCAGTATAAAGTGAGGGCTATTTTCTTCAATTTTAATAGGTGATGGGCTAAAACCTACAAATTTAGTAAGATGAAAGGCTAAAATATCATAATATAAGGTAAAGGACTAAAACATTCAAACTTGGTAAGGTAAGGGGCTAAAAGTAAGTTTTTGCCACTTCACTACTAACTTCACTCTTGGGCAAAGAGATTAATGCAACTTGACTATTTTGGCAAAGAGACTTGTCTCTGAGCTAAAATTTGTCAACTTTCTATGTGTTCAGCCAAATTAAGATTGAGCAAATCAAACCTCTTCAAATTGTTTCTACTAAATTCCTAAAAAATGACCTTATAATTTTTAAAAAATATCACTTTGTAAAGGGTTTTATTTAATAAAAGAAGCTATTCAATTTGCTCAACAACAACTTGGAGACAGCTTTTTCATTAGCCCTTAACTCCAAACTTGTAGGATCTTCCAATTGTAGCAATTAATAAAGAGCACCTTAGCCCCACTAAGTGGAAGACAATTAATTCCCCCACTAGGAATTAATAACTATTCTATTGGAAAATCCTCTACCAATTCATTGTCTTTCTTTGCCAAAATGGTCAAGTTGCATCAATTTCTTTGACTCAAGTTGCTTTAATTTCTTTGCTCAAGAGTCAAGTTTCCTATTCTATTACTATTTGTTACTATGTTCTACCTAATTATTGTTACTATTTGGTTTAAAATAAAGCTATTGAAGAACTTGAGGTCCTTCAGTTAACATCATGGTATCAAATTGAGTCCTTTTGTAATGAGCTTCTCAAACTTATTGCTAGAATAGGCCAAGAATTTGATGATAACCTAAATAATTGAATCTTTAATAAATTACAAAGAACCCTTGGTAAACAAATTAAAGAAAAATTATTGGCATCCAACCCTGCACCTCAACAAGGAGCATACCCAGAGACGTTCCGGCCTAACCATCCGCTAACCAGTCACTCACCAAATAGCTTAGACACTGCAGAGCTAGAACTATGGCACAAATGTAAGTCAAGGGCAATTATTTTATAGTTGAGTTTACTCTCTTTATTGAGGATAAAATTCATAAGACTTTATCTTGACCCTAATGTGTTTCATAATAGTCAAAGTCTAAGAGAGATTCTCTTCACACCTTAAACAAGCTACACCCAATTGTTACACTTTAATTCTAAGAAATACAAGAAAAAGCAATTACAGTAAACAAACTCGACTTTTTACAAAAGTAATCATGGTTAGCTATTCTTATAGTTTTGGAGAGATAAAAAGCAGTTAACGTTTAAGGAACTTGTGGTTAGTCGTTCTTATCTTTTTAGAAAGATATTAGAATAAAGGTGCAACAGTTGGGTGTAGCTTATCTAAGGTGTGAAAGGAATCTGCCTTAGACTTTGGCTATTGTGAAACACATCA